TTATAATAGACATGCAGAAAATGTTAAAAAACCTCAGGACTAACTACAGTACGTCCCTGGTAACCAGTTAGGCTCTCAAAAAAGACTGATTCATTAACAACAACAGGGAATAGACAAGTGGTTGTTTATTTCAACCTAAAATTTAAATTATGATTCACCACTACTTATTTATTCTGCATATTTCTTGTGAAGTAAGAAAAAGAAAGTAAAAAAACCTCCACACAACTTCTTTTAAACTAGTTTTTATTTAGGAAGTGAAACAAAATGCCCAGTGTTGTCTTTGTGCTTTACATTGTTTTAAAAATCCTCAGAGGAAGAACTCAAAACAAAGCAGGAAGCTCCAGAAAAACTTCATCATCATCATCATCATCATCATCATCATCATCATCATCATCATCACCGTCAGTTTATACAGATCTGTAGAAATAGTCGGACTCCGCAGTCACAGCAGTGCTTATTTACAAGGCCTCTTGCCGCAAAATATTCGAGTTTTCATTCTCTCTAAAAAAAAGTTTATTAAAAAATGACACAACGTGTACTGAAGGTGTTGATTTACACCATGTGTCACTTTTACCTATTCCTTTGATGTTGTTTTCACCCTCGATTCGTCATCGTAGAAAAAAGAGGAAAGAGGTTGTTACTTCTACACACAAGGCATTTTCTACCTGAATCTAACTCTTTCATTGTGCTACTATCTTTGAAAAAAAAAAGTTGCAAGATATAATTTGTAGGAGGAAGTGCTTTTATATAAGAATACGTAAACTAGCTTGTGGTTATAGTAGGCTACGGTAGTTCATAGTAGAATCTAAGTGTTTGTCAATGCGCTCTGGTGCTGAAATATCGACCTAAAAGTCTCTACTCCTTTCCCAACAATGCGTGTAATTGCATCGGTGACCACCACAACAACCTGACAACAGCAAGAGGGGATGGAAAAGAAAAAGAGCAGAAATTTTGATGACTACAGTCGTCTCTGGAGTCCTAACAGGGAGTTTGTAGATCGATGTCTTGTGTAAAACCAAAGAGCAAAACTGATAATTTGATGAGATCCAGACTGACAAAAGGTCGATCCATAATTCTCACCAACTCAGTCGGACCACTGAGAGTCAAAGAACCACAGCTGTTCTGTCACTTATTTGAAAAATACAACCAGGAACACATCAAGCACCAAACTTTTCTTGTTTCGGGTTTGTGTTTTCATCCATGTTTCAGCACCAGAGGCCTACGATAGTACCATCTACTTTCTACAATATTTTAGAATAATAATACGAGGCAGGCAGTGCATAAACCATGTACAAAAAGACCCATCCCTACCCAACCCAGAGCCCTGCATCTAAAAGGAGTTGTGCCATCTGTGTGAATCTCTGGAAGCCCCAACAGCTCCTAATGCACGTACAGACATAACTGTCAATAACGTAATGATGCCAAGTTATAATTATAACTAGGAGGCAATTGTTTTGGAGATTACAAAGCAAAACTGACTCTCTGCCTTCTCTGATTAGATCTTTCTGTTCTATTTAAACACTTCACATTCACAAAAGAAGGCCTCGAAAAACCACAACAGTGTCACGGTTCCCTTAAATATAGAGCTCTTAACCCAACCCTCATTATTTAACACTAACTTGGTTTGCTAACTCCCTGAAATTTCGTTTCTCATAACTACATAGAATAGTGGTACTTGAATGAATCAAGATGTTACAGGCTGTTATGACCTGTTTCTTCAAAAAACAAAGACAAATATCATGCATTATTGCTCTCTCAGATATAAACGAAATATTGCCCCAGACAGAATTTTGCTTGACTTGCCTGTTATCTAAGAGGTTTGGCAAAAGATCCCAAAGATTCCTAAAATTGGCATAGATTCCATTAATAGGCTATCATTTTTTGCATGCAGTAGTTTTTTTTCTTACAATTAAAGTGGCGGACAAAAGTAAAAAGGTATTCGGTAATTCGAAAGTGTCAAATGCTTTGGCATATTTGTAACAAAGGCAAAAAAAAGTGCAAATGAATACAAAGAAACATATAAATAAATAAATAGGCAATAAATAGATATTAAAAAAAGATGCAAACCTCAAAGCTGTATGAGATTCACTGGCAACAAAAAAAAGGTTTGACCTTTTGGGGACCTAAGGACATTTTTAATGCCTGGATCCCCATCTAATATAAAAAAACCTAAAATTATATCAAATAATACTGAGTTAATATGAAAACACTGTTTGTTAAGGAACACCCTGGTGGCTCAGTGGGAGTTTTCAGCCATTTGATCCTCAACTGGAAGTCACATTTGCCTCATTAATTCCTTCTCTCCGATGTTAATTGTCAAGAAAAGCACAGAATCCAAAATGAACCTTTGAGATAATAACACAGCATAAGTGTGTATCCAGATAAGACATTGGTTTAAAGGAAATCACATAAAAAACATTATTTTCCCATTACACTGGTGTACTTGGCCATGTTTACTATATTATGGCAGGTGTGGACGTTATATTTCTTTCAGTTAAGTGTAGTTGTGTTGTATCCATTGACACATTGACAGTATGTAAAGCATTTTTTGTTTACTTGCACAGAACCATTTACTTTATCACCTTGTTCATTCAGTCCCATGTCAGTTCCATTAAAAGCAGGACACCAGATGCATCCTGGGATTCTGAAATGTTCGGGGTTTTTTTTTTTAAAAAAGCATAAAATATAAGTTAATTGAATCTCTTTGCAAGAAAATCAAAGATGTGATTCATGCTCTAAACACCTGTCACAGAAAAAGACAGGGAGGTGGAAAATGGAATTGTGCTTCACCGCTGTTTCGTCATTGGTTGAAAAAACAGAACAACAAGGACAGATATGGACGTAAATAGATCTAGGTTTCTTCAGAAATGATGAGCTCGATGTGCTGTGCTTTATTTATCTTCACAGATTCTCAAAACAGCCTCCGAAGGGGACGTAAATTATCGAAGCAGGTGACAATCTAAATCAGGCGTTGAAAACGTTTTGCTCCAGATAAGGAAATTGGAGACAAAGGAGGAAATGGAAGTGGAATTGTCTTGATGAAAATCTATTTTTGTCGCTCGCCTCACTATCCTTGCAGCGAAAATGCTCCTCCCTTGTTGCACTCAGACATACTGGTCATGTCATTGTGAGGAAGCATAAAAAGCAGCAAGTGAGTCCAATGCAATTTGATCTAAGAAAAGAAGTCAAACCCCAGCTGTGCTTCAAGAGTCCATCATTCCCCCAGCGAGCTCAGAGGGGAGAACGCCCCCTTGAAGCACGCAGACTCGTAATGTTTGTTCAGGTAACTCTTGAGCGCAAACGTCTTGTCGCAGCGTTTGCACTTGTAGTGTTTGAAGGCAGAGTGCGTCTGCATGTGAGCGCGTAGGTTTGACCGGTCAGCGAAGGCCTTACCGCAGTGTGCACATCCGAATGGCTTCTCGCCCGTGTGTGAACGCATGTGGCCCTGCAGCAGCCAGGGCCGGCTGAAGGCCTTGCCGCACACGTCGCACTTGTGCTTGAGGTCGTGGGTCAGCAGGTGCATGGCCATCGCTGGCATGGACACATACACTTTCCCACAGGTGGGACACTTCTTGGCCATTTTGCTGTCTATGCTCCTGTGCGTCTGCTTGTGCCGACTCAGGTTGGAGGAGGTGGCGTAGGTTTTACCGCACTCGCTGCAGGTGTGCCTCTGGGTGGTTCCTCTGGGGCTCTCTGTGGTTTTCCTCCGCGACCGTCCGTCCATGATGAAAAAGGCGTCCACTGTGTAGCCCTCACTAACGGCCGTGTCCCCATTGATGTACCCGCCAGCCGATGACGAGACCTCAGACCTGGGACTGTCTGGCTGGTCCGAATCCCCATGGATGTCGCTATGGATGTCACTATGGATGTCACTATGGATGTCTGCATGGATATCGGTGTAGGTGTTGTTGATGCGGCTATAGATGATTGACGAGTGGCTTGGAGACGGTACTTTAGAGATGACGGATGAGTCACTTCCCACCACATCATCATATGGATTTGGACTCAGATAATCGCTGACGTAGCCTGAAGAGACAGAGGAAGAGGTTAATCAATGAGACATGGCAGAGGGATTGATCGGAAATTAGAAACTGATCGGTTAGAAGATAGTGATGCTTCGTGAGTCAAGTTTTACAGTAACCTCCTCTGATCATGGTTTGTTTGTTTGTTTGTATGCAATAGTACACAAAAATAACTGAACATATTTCTATGAAATTATATTATATTACACAGATTATCACTTTATCACAGAATATTTCTTATGTAATGTATCTTAACCATGAATCAACCTGTGGTTAAAAAAAGAAGGAAAACCTTTAAAGGAAAGTCTCTATCTTTCTCAGGGTTGTGGGTCTCTGCGTTGTCCAACACGGTTAAAAGCCACAAATCAAATTCATTCGTCCACGTTCATTGATTATTAAAAACACATCGTCTCTAGATAGTATTACTGATTACAGCCTGGTGTGTCTGGTTTGTAAAATATCAATCAAACCTCCCAGGGATCAAATTAACAACATGTGCTTTATGCTTTAAGATGAACGTATGCTTCTCCATTAACATTAACATCCTCATCCTGAGAGAGAAGAGTGAGGCACAACTATTTTGGAGGCAATATAAAGCAGGAGAGAAGGAGGAGAAGGGGCTTGTGGTATTTATAGTGGTAAGAAAGTGCTTTTATGTCTTTGCCAGCGAAGAGACACTCCCCCCCTCCCCCCTGCGAGTGGGAAATCTCTATTTTTCATTGAGGGGTTCAGTGAGCACACTTTCTCCTCATCAGCAGCACCTCTCCTGACAGGTCTACAACTGCACAGTCACACCTCACAGCTGTCAAATCCTCAACCGCTGTACGCTGAGCAACTCTTACAGCAGCGGGAGTCCCATGCTTTGCTCAAGGGCACCCTGCCACACTTACATTTAACCATTTAGTCTCGTTCTGGAGTATATTTGCCTGAGCAATCTGTCTATTTTTGCACTGCCAACCTGATGGATTTGCTGTCATTTTACAATGTTAGCTGCTTTATTATTTGCATTAATGGGTTCTGAGCTCAACAGGCTGGACTCTGAGGGAGACAAGGAGAGACTGGTAGCTAATATCCCACAGCCATGACTCCTGTGGATCCGTGGCGATCAATAGCTCTCCATTTCAATTAGCACTCTGTGAGCATTTAGACACAGGCTGCAGTGGAGATACTGTTGCTGGTAATATAATTTCATGACGCAGTTCTGAGAAAAGCTCGGAAGTTGATCGATAATATGAAGAGAATAAGAGACAGAGATGGAGAGAGAGGGGGGAAGAGAGGAGAGGAAAGGTGAGAGGTGGAGATGGGAAAGAAGGAAGAAGGAAGAAAGGAGTGTGTGTGTGTGTGTGTGTGTGTGTGTG